TGAATCCCATCTTTTAGGACGAATTTTTCTAAAAAAATTATTCTTTTTTCCAGGTTGCTGGAGAACATTTTTCGAAGGATTTTTATCGACAGGATTTGAAGAATGGTTTAATAAGTTCATATACGCGTTTTAAACCTGTCACAGGTACATAATCTTTTTTACATTTATCAAATGAATTAATGAATGGACAAGATTATGACTATTTTATGAATCTATAAATTATATAAACCCTGTTTTGGTTTCTTTCTGTTAATTTGAATTAAGAAGTTTGTTTTATATTTATTTCAATCTTTTTTTCCAAATCAAAGGTTATTTTATCCTTTTACAGACTGCATGTTTATTACGGCAGAACCAGGATCTTTCATATATACCTCAAAAACTGACGACGACGAGGTTTGTGGAATTTTCTTCCTAGCTGGACCGGATCAAAAAGTGGAAATTAACTTCCTCACCTTTGACATACCTTGTGAACACCGTGGATTGATTTCGGTGAGAAAACACAACATAATGTTAATTGTTTATGACCTAAGGATGCAAATGTGATGGTTAAATATTATATGACAAAATTAAAGGAATAAAATAAATTTAGAAAACAAACCAAGGTATAGGATATTACACAGTGTAGTGTTATATGTTTCGTACTAATAATACGATCTAGTATATTTATATACTAAATATATAATATCTATATATACTAGATATATATATATTAGATATAATAATTGGATACGTATAACATTTCAGAAGAACACAATTATGGTTATCGCATGAATAAAGAAACACTTGCACACTTTCAAATGCTATAAATATAGACAAATTTCACAACTTTTTATTTTAAATAACAATTACAAACTATAATATTAGTATATGTATATGTATGTATATTCACCACTTACGTATAATAATCTGTGCTCCTTTGCTTAGGCTGTCCTACATATGATCTTGCAAAGAAGTCTGCTGCGCGTCAGGGGCATTGTGTTCGATCTTTAAGTATTAATAACTAACAAGCGAAACCTCAAACCTAATTTTCTCATTATACATTCTCAATTTATTTTGGCTCATAGAGGCACTTGTTAACTATGCCTGTAAAGTTGGACACTTTATATAGCGCAATCATCAGGAGCATTTTGGTCAATTTTTCAATATTCATAGTTATGAAATAAAGCTTGAAAGACATAATTCTTTAATTTTCCATTTTCGAGTATATTTATTCCTGGGCATTTTATATGGTGGAGGCTATTGTATAGTACCACAGTTTCAGTTTCCCTCCGATAATCCTCGCCTACTTTTTCGAATACAGAAACGTGTATTTTACTCGTATGTATCCATTCCAGTAGATACGTTTTTCCAATGCATCACTGTGCCGTGACAACAGTCCATTCAGAATGTATTTTTATATCGTGCAGGTCGTCGATGGCTGGGAATTAAACGGTGAAGTGTTCCCTAGCGAAATGGACCATCGATTGCCGCTGAAACAGAGAAGCAGCGAATTCTGTGGTAAAAATATCGGTGCGAAGAGGAGCTTCACAAGTTCACAGAACGCAGCGGTTATCCGATACAGAATACCAAAGCCTGGGAAAGGGTTCACGCTCTTCGCCAAATTTTTGAAAAATCCTAGACGTGAGTCGAACGTCGACCAATTTATTTTCATATAAAATCAGAAATTTGAAGTTGGAAGTAATTGAATATTTTTTTTCATTTCTTGCAGATATTTTGTCTTATGGCAGACAATGACTTTGAAATTTGAATTAGAATAGAAGATTAATATTTCAATTTTAGGTTTTGAAATATAAATTTATAGAAATTTGCAAGAATTAAATCTTGTAATATTTAGAGATTTTCTTCATGTACAATGAAAAATTTGAGAATTGCATTTTCTACTTTACATTGAAATAGGTATTGCTTGTAATTATTATATAAAGGTGCAATACAATTCTCAATATGCTAACTTATTTTTAATATCAATATTGTATTTCACAATATATCGAAATTTTAAGTATTGGAAAGAGAACATTTTGGATGAGTTACTTTTGCTCAAGTATTATTATATTCAATATATTTTAATATTTACTATATCTGGTATCTAAATTACAAAAATTAGAAATTATTACATAAAGATTTACTGTAATTTTCGATAATAGTTTCCTATTAACACGGAGTGTAAGAAGGAATATTTTTTGATAATTTTTCAGCTTGCAATGTTTTGGCAGCGAGCGTAGACGAACCGTACACGCTGCGCAATTATGGACGGCGTATTAACTGCACCTACGTCGCACTTTATCCAGGCACTGTACATGTAATCGCACTTGGCGTTGGGGTTTCGAATTTCCTCGGAGCCACTAGTACCACTGAAACCGGAACTCTACGAAAAGTTCGTAGCATTTCGACTATCCTTCCTCACTAGTAGTTTTCTATATCTTATAGATACTTCAAGTAAATATAAAAAACATACTAGTGATGCTTAACATAGCAGATTTTAAGATTTAGTAGATATTGTGAACATAATTATCGCGGAAGACACAAAATTCTAACAAGAATAGTATAGACAATATAGTTGCATAGTATTATTAGGTTGTCCCAAAAATTTATTTCGTTTTATTAGGAAATAATAGATGCACAATATTTTTTGTTTTATATTATTTTATTGAATTATGTATTTCACTTTGTATTACATATTGTATTGTAATAGAATAATATAAAATAAAAACTATTGTGCATCTATTATTTCCTTAGAAAACGAAAGAAACTTATAGGACAACCTAGTATAATGTATAATGTATAATGTAGTAAAAATTTCCAGACCTATACTTTATCTATGTTTTCTTAAATTTGGTCTTTTAGTTTATATAATTGTTTATATGTCATATATGCGTATATGTTATAATTGGAAAATACTAATTAAATACTGATCTCTAGTGCGATGAAACCAGTCCGCAGGATCAAGTGATAATTGGAGGCAGCGACGGCCTGGACACGTCCAAAGTTCAAATAGTTGATTCTATTTGCGGGATAGATTCTAAACCAGGTAATACGATTAATAACTCCTAGCATTAATATCGATCTCAATCGGAAGCTTTGTGTCGACCCACACATGAACTAACTATAAACCTATTTATTGTTGAACGTCTCTTAGCATGTTGATAACAGTCGTCTATATTATATATTTATTCGCAATTGAATTGTGTTTCTCAATTACAACACCTTTTTTTCGAAAATTGTGTTGTCTTTTGTACTTCTTATTCTTTAAACTTTTCTTTACTCTCCACTGTATACATCAATTCTAAATCAAGTAATTGTTCAGTTTACTGACTTTTCCCAATTTTAGCTGTTTCACTACCGTCTTCGTTTTGGATCCTTTATCTTATCACTAAAACAAGGAATCTGAATCAGGAGAATTATGAAGATACTATGAAACGTACTTTTTATTATTTTATCTAAGGAAACGTTGAAGAAAAGATTGGAGTCAAATAGTCAAAATTGGGAAAGTTTTCAAAGAAACATAGACAGCATAATTAGCCTATTAATTGTTTTTCAGATTATCGGGAGCTGGTGGAGTACGGCGTAACTTCTGTTCGATTGGTATCCAGTGGCTTCTACGAGAATTCCGTGACAGTGCAAGTTCAGCCTCTCAAGAACGAATTACTCGACGCGAATCTTAGCATCTAACCGTGTTAGCTCGTAAACCTTATTATGTTCGATGCTTGAAACGATTGGAAACTCTATCGTGAATGTGTTTATTATCGAATCCATCAAAATCCTATGCGTCTTTCAGAAATTTTTGCAAACTCAATTCGCCAAGTCTCTTGATTATTCATTAATATTCCACTTGCGTAGTCTTTATAAAGATACTTGGAACCTCGTTTCCTATTATATTTATATCATTTAGTTAGATTAGGTATGAGGGATGTGTTTTATTGAGAGGTATCGTTTTTCTTTAAGAATTCTGATGGTCTGCATTAATAAGGGAAGTTATCTAGGTTTAAATTTAATAGAAAGTTTGATTTAAATACTGGTTAATTTTAAAAGTGCAAAACAATTGAATGTTATGGCATCCTATATATGTATCTTTCAAAATTCAACATAGATGAGAAAAGTGGCGGTGCTTCAAAAATACCAGAAGATATAAGTGGTTTTCCTTCTGTAATTTTTGTCCTTTAAAGTTCTTTTAAATAATAAATTCAAATAAATCTAAATAATATAAATAAAGTAGCTAAGATAAATGAAAATATAAATTTTGATTTTTCCTTATTTTTATATTTTAATAAATTAATAGTTAGGTAACTTTCCTTGTTATTGTACAAAGGAGAACAAAAAGCATGTTTTGTTCGTAGACAATATATTCTGAATTCTTAAATAATTGATGATTTGATATGTCGTGAGATTTGTGATAAATGGATTTAAATACTTGTTGAATGTGTAGATCAATCTTAGCGGCTTAGAAGTAATGAGAGAAAGGCCTCGAGTTTTTATTCTTGTGGGACTGCGAAGAAATTGGTTGGAACGTGCCAATTGCTTTTAACGAATCAACTGAATAAACTTTACTCACTCATCGGGCTCTATTTATTTATTATCGATAGATTTATAGGAATAGTACGATTTCTTATTATTATAAATGACGTGCTTGTTTGTTTAAATAAATTATTTCATTTGAAACCAATCTAAAAATTAACTTAATGAGACGGAATTACAATTTTGATATTTAACTTTCCAAAAATTATTTTATAATAGAAATAGACAATTTATTAGTTACATATATATTGTATGAATTGAAACATCCAACCTAAGAATTTATTTAACTATACAGAATTATAATTTTGTCAGTTAATTTTCACAGAATTATTTAACTTTTGAGAGTAGATTCTCCTTCCTCGTTAATCATATATGTATACTCTTCTGAATAAACTAAAGTAAATTCAATAAGAATTATGTGTTGGTAATTTTTAACCTGCCTCATCAATTTTCCTGACTTCCTCCACTCCTAGACAAGCCTCAAAGGTTGTTGTCGCCTAGGCAACTTGAACGTATACAAAACGTCTCATGTGGTATTGCGTCTCAGAAACTCACGTTTATATCGCTCGAAATGAACCAACGTGACTGCGTTACAGTATACAAACAGAAACAATTTTCTCGAGAATTCACTGCAATCCATCGATGTCAAAGGCGATAAGGAATAACTATGTTGCTGAAATATTTGGGCAATGTTACGCCACCGTATGTAAGTACATATACTTTGAATAAGTTAATGATTTTAACGACGTTCCGAATAATGCTTGTAATTGATCTAAATACGAAAGTAAGGATAAACATGGTAAAATTTATTGAGAACTTTACTAAGATTAATGTCGAAAAATAATGTAACATAGTAACAAGTTAATAGTAAGCTAAGCTAGAATAATAATAAAATAAAAAATTAGAATATATAATCTGTTTAGAGAAATATTAAACTAAACTAAAATAATAATGAAATACGAAGTAAAAAAATAAGATTTTTAAAATAATACAAAATTAATAGCAAATTGAATTAGGTTAATATTAAAACAAGAAATTAAAAAATAAAATCTACTTGAAGAAACAATAAAATAAAGAATAGATGAAAAACATTAAATCGCACTGAGGTAATAATTAAATATAAAATAGGGGAAAATATTTTAGATAAATTTCTGAAAAATTATTTTATAAAACAGGAGTACGAGAATAGAGTGGTGGGTATAAGTTGGTCACCAAACAGTCTAAAACTGGCTGTCGCTTCCTCTGATCGTTCCATATACCTTTTTGACGAGAATTGCGTGAAACGTGACAAATTTTCCACGAAACCTGTCGATTCGAAGGTACGAAGGTATTCGACAATAATTTCCTTACAATTACATTAAGGTATAAGTAAATGTACTCCACTGATTGTATTTCTATCGTATTTTGTATTTTTTATTTTACTCCTGTATCTTAACACTAATCTTACTAGACCCGGTCAAATGACCGGTTTCAAAATTTAATTTGATATTGTACATTCATTGTTATTTCTTTTGTTCGTCTAACTTTATGTAAATTCTTATATTATCTGATTAATCAATTTCTTAATTTTTTTTTTTAGTGTTAATAAACATAATAAATTTATTTTTTTTTTGGTGTAAGTTTCAAAAAGATATTGTAAAAAACAATAATTGAAATGTTATGAAAAATTCTTCAAATTTAAACGATGTGTGTATCTTTATGAAAAATTACCCATCTTTTCTAGTTTGGTAAAAAGAGTTACGTGGTCAAGGGTATTGCCTTTTCTCCAGACTCGACAAAAATAGCAGTGGGCCAGACTGACTGTATAGTGTACGTTTACAAAATTGGAGAACAATGGTAAATGATAGAAAAAATTAGTTTAAAGAATTGTCGAAATTCTTTTTGAAAGATATACATATCTCATATAGGGGAGAGAAGAAAGTGATTTGCAACAAGTTTCGTCAAAGTTCTCCTGTCACTTGTCTAATTTGGCTGACCGAGGGACCGATTATTGTTGGTTTGGTAGATGGCAAAGTTCGCATTGCATTGGTGAAGACTCAGAAAGCTCAGACACTTTACACGGCTGATTCGACCACGATTGCGTTGGCTTCCAAGTAATCTATCTTCACAATATTTTATTTTCTCGTTAGTTCCTCCGTATTGAAACAAAAATTGCATATTTTATTGTCCTTGTTGAAGTGAATTGAAACAAGATCATGTGTTTATTAGGCAAAAAATAATTGCTAACCTCTACTATCACTTCTTGCTTGCTTCGTACATCATTCTGTAGAGGATTGATCTTACCGGATATCACGAATAACAGTCTATATGTTTGTGAGCAATTCACTACAGTTATTACTTTGACACAAAGCACAAGTCCAAGTATAATAAGTCTTACGAAATAAATACGCGCGTGTCAAGAAACTCCGTATACACGTCTGACGCGTCTGTATGCTTATGCTGCGATCGCTGAACTCTCTCGCTCGGCATTTCGTTTGTTTGTTTACATCGGTCGGAGGACAGTTGGAAAGTTTGAACTCGACTGCGTTTGACGGTTGAAAGTAGCGGCAACATTGTTTTGCTCGGAGTTCGTTACTCCTTGCAATACCTGTGACCTAACGACCATGATACTCCGAAACAAAACAACAACAGGATTTGAATTCAAATTCAAATGAGAGACTATCTCACTAATTTCAATAATTTTCAAATGTTGTATGGTCAATATTCCGAACAGCAGATATTCATAAAAATACTTCTGCTATATTTTATCTTGGTATAAGTTGTGTCATGGTCCTGACAATATATTTGAAAGCTAATGAAATCGACAAGGTGGATCCTCGTTTAAATAATTAATAAACGTCTCATATACTTTTAGAAATTGCTTTGTAATATATCTAATTTAAATAAAATCATCATCTTATCTTTAATTTCAGTGTACGAGGAACCGGTTTCTTATCAAGTCACGCTGATGGTAGCATAATAAAGTATCATTTAACCGCCGATGGAAATCACGAGCCTTCTGGACGTATCTGTACTCATACAGTACCAGCATACGCATTAGCATGGACACAATCGCATATTCTGGCTGCAGGGTGCGACAGACGAGTGTCATTTTACGATTCGCGTGGAAAGTTAGTGAAAAATTTCGACTACAGTCGCGAGAACGAAAAAGAAATCGCTGTGGCCTGCTGTAGTCCCAGTGGACAGAGTGTTGCTATCGGATCTTGGGACAAAATACGAATTTTGGATTGGAGTCCTCGACGTTCCATTTGGGAAGAGGCAAATACACGATCTTTGCCTAATTTCTATACAGTCACTGCGATATCCTGGCGTCGTGATGGTTCCAGGTCAGCCTATATAAAATGTTCCATGCAATTGGACCAAATTATAACCCTGAAATGATAGAAGATATGAGGGAATTTAGAAAATAAAAAATAAAGAAAAAAAAATTTAGAAAAATATTTGAGAATAAGAAGCAAAGAATATATGTATATACAGAATAAAAAAGATAAAAATTATATGCTATTAACTTTCCAGGTTACTTGTAGGCAGCCTCTGCGGCGCAGTAGAGCAATTCGAAACAGTCCTGAAGAGAACAGTAATCAGAGGAAGTCACGAAGTGGCCTACGTTGGACCCAACCAAGTAGTGATTCGTCCATTACAAGAGGGCAATCGGCCAGTAATTATTAGATCCCAAACAGGCTACGAAATAGAGGATGTCAAAGTCCTAGGACGAGCTGACAATAATGTGATAGCTCGCACAGCTAACACTCTACTTTTAGCTGACATTGAACTAAATCTTATCAGTGAAATTTCCTGGGAAGACAAAAGCAACAGTGAAAAATTCTTTTTTGAATATCCAAGAGTGTGTCTAATCTTCTGTTCAGGAGAGCTAACCATAGTTGAGTATGGGAACAATGAGGCATTAGGCTCAGTAAGAACAGAAGCAGTAAATCCTCATGTAGTTAGCGTGAGGATCAATGAGAGACAGGCTGCTGAAGCACCGGATAATAAAAGACTCGCTTATTTGTTGGATCCAAGAACTGTTCGCATCATGGACCTGGTAACTGGGCTTACTGTTACAATGGTTTCTCATGATGTCCGTGTAGATTGGCTGGAACTTAGCGAAACAGGCCACAGGTTACTATCTAGAGACAAAAGAGCCAGGTAACGAAGTATTTCGCTCATTTACATGAGATTTCTTTAATCGTTCAGTATGCAGTATTTCGGTATTCTTCTATTCTCGTAGTTGAAGTATTGTGTCCCTCCTAAATGCAGAAAATGTCCTTAGTGTTTTACGGAATGATATAAAAAAATCATTGGGAGAAACATACAGAGTTTTTGGCTACAGGTGTGAAAAAACTTGTACGAGGTAACCTGCTGTCCATGTAGCGTTCAATTTGAGGATCCTGTACACCTTGCTGCTTAGGCTGATCCACTTTCGTTCGTGTAAGGAGGTTTACTCGCTCACAGGGGTACTTCGGTTAATGTTTGATTGTCAATAATTAAAAAAGAAAGTCGAAAACGCAATTTTTTTATTCTTGATTTTTATCTTATTTTAATTTTAAGAATGGTCCCTTAAATTTTTTCACATCTATAGCCGAACTGGTTATCCATTGTTGACATGCAACAGTCGATAACGTAAACTTCTGTCGATTAATATGGAATCTATATTACTAAAAAAATCTACCCCTGAAGTTCCTCTTTCATCCAACATCTATAAATCTTATCGAGATTTCAATATATTCTTAATTCTCGTTATTTACCTAGACTATGGCTAAGTGACGAGCTAGGTGGAAGAATTTTATTACTGACTGGAGTCAGTTTTGCTTCTTGGGTACTAGGCAGTGATGTAGTAGTAGCTCAAACCGGACAAACCTTGGCAGTCTGGTACAACGTCGATGATCCCGAAGTGGCAACATTAATTCCAGTTCGTGGTGACGCCATCGACATTTCTAGAGAAGATGGAAGAACTACTGTCACGGTGGAGGAGGCTGGAGGCAAGGTGGCCTATCTGCTTGATGAACCACTGATAGAATTTGGCACAGCGCTACATGACAATGATTTTGGTAGAGCTTTATTATTCCTGGAGGATTTGGCAGATAGGCCTCAAGCGGAGGCCATGTGGGAAAATGTAGCCAGGAATGCAATGGCTGCTAGACAGTTATTGATAGCTGCCAGGTGCTACGCAGCTCTCGGGGATGTAGCTTGTTCCAGGTTTATATCTGTTTCTTCATAGTTCCTGTCTGTTCTTGCCAATTACAGTGACTTACAAAAGTATTTGAATAATTACCATAAAAAGCTTTTCATTGCTCTTCTAGATTCTTAAAAAATATAATAGAAATCGGCGAAAAGTACCGTGCAGAGACTGGGCATGATCCACTTTCAAGCCCTGACTGTTGGGCAAAGTTAGCCATTCTAAATGGCGAATTAAAAACTGCAGAAGCCATTTATTTGGAACAAAATGAATTAGGCCAGGCTCTGGATATGTACCAAAAATATTGGCACTGGGAAGATGCGTTGATTTTAGCACAAAACAGAGGCTGGTCAGGTCTCCAGGAGCTCAGAGATAGACATCTGACTTGGCTACTCGAAAGTGGCCAGACAGCTAGAGCTGCTGCCATTTTGGAACCCACTAATCCTCGACGTGCAATCAAGCTATACCTAGATGCTCATCGACCTGGTCGAGCAGCTAGACTTGTTCTGGCCAATCCAGATCTATTAGAAGACAGGTCCATTGTTAATGAAATCGTGAGAGTTTTGAAAGCGACGGACTTAATGGAATTAGCTGGAGAACTGTTGGAAAAGACATCAGAGCCTCTGGAAGCTATTAAATGCTACTCTCAAGCTGGAGTATTCGCAAGAGCATTGGAATTGGCTAGAAAGGTGGATCCTACTTCGGTAGTTGACCTTGAACGAGAATGGGGCAAGCACTTGGCCTCTGCTGGGCACTATGATGCAGCTATTAATCATTTTATAGAGGCAGGAGAAACTGCTCTGGCTCTGGATGCTGCTATCAATGCACGACAGTGGAGAAAAGGGCTACAGATCATACAGGTAAAGATTTCTTCACATTTGCCTATTTTTCTATGATTAACAGATTACGGAAGATCTCAATATGCGGAAATACCCAATATACATGCAATATTCAAAATAAAGTATTTGTTAATACTAGTATTTTTTAAAGGTGATCGAGGATGATGATCCCACAATAAGGAAACAGTGCGAGAAACTGGCCGAATATTTCGCCTCCATACACGAGAAGAACTTGGCAGAAAGGCTTTTCATTCGATCCGGAGATGCCAGACGTGCAGTTGATGTTCACGTACAAAATGGCAACTGGAGTCGTGCTCATGAAGTAGCTCAAGAGTATATGACTCCTGATGAAGCGAACGAAGTCCTGTTAAAACATGCTACAATCCTCTGTGAAACAGGAGATCTGAAACACGCAGAGGAATTATATCTTGCCATTGGCAAATATGATTCGGCTATAGCGATGTACAGAAAGGCTAGTCGGCGTGCAGATATGATTAGATTAGTAGCAAAATATAGACCAGACCTTTTGGAGACCACTCACGCGCATTTAGCCAGAGAATTGAATGAGTCTAGCAAGCCTCGTGAGGCTGAGGATCATTACCTTGCAGCTGGTGATTGGAGAGGAGCGGTGACTGCTTATAGGGCAGCCAACATGTGGGAGGATGCTCTTCGTGTAGCGAAACAGCATGCTGGAGATAACGCAGCCCAACAGGTCTCGATTACTAGACACTTATCTTTAAAAAATGCAAAAGTGTATCAAATGCATATTATATGTATATATAATTAAAAAATTCTGATTTCTATATAGGTAGCTTTAATATGGGCACGTACATTGGCACCAGAATTAGCAGCCAGGCTGCTTATGCGGCTGAACTACTTAGATGGCTGTCTGCAGCTAGCTTGTGAAGCTGACTTGTTCGATTGGGCTTTGGAAATTGTCAAATATGGGAGTACTGATCAGATGAAAGAAGTTCACTATAGACACGCCATGGCACTGGAAGATGCAGGTCATTTCTCTGAAGCAGAAAAAGAATTTATTAAAGCTGGAAGAACCATGGAGGCTGTTCAGATGTATATTCATACTCGAGATTGGGAGGCTGCTGAAGATGTAGCTCAATCAATTAACCAAGATGCAGTTGCTCAAGTCCTCATTGCCAGGGCTAGTGAAGCAGTTGAAGGACAGGACTATTCCTTGGCCGAGACTTTGCTATTGAGAGCCCATAAACCCGAAATGATTATTGAACACTACAAGGTGATTATTTGATAATACATACTGTGTATATTGATTCATTTCTTAAATGCTTCTTGAATATTACAGAAAGCAGGAATGTGGTCTGAGGCGCTACGTGTTTGCAGAGAATACCTACCGAGTCAACAAGCGAATCTCAGGCGTGAACTTGGTCAAATAAGCGCCTCTCTTGCTGGTGCAAACGCTTTTGAAGAAGCCAGAAAGTGGTTAGAAGTTGGTGAAGTGCGAGCTGCTCTCGATATCTTAATTCTAGATCCTCAAGCGCCCAGGTCGTCTCTTATCAAGGCTGCTGACATTCTACTTCATCAAGCTGATTCAGAAACTGTTGCTCAAATCGGTGGAGATCTTGGCTCGCGTTTGTTTGCTATTGGAGAATATGCTGTTGCTGCTCAGGTTGCCATCTTACAATTGAATATCTTACAAATAAAAGATTGATTTAATTTCACAAATTTAATTTCTTTCTTATTTCCTTTAGGTATTCTTACAGGCAGACAAATTGAAAGATGCTATTGATTCATTGGCTTCAATTGGAGAGTGGGAAAAAGCCAAGAGAATTGTAAATGAACTGGCACCAGATATAGAACCTTATTTGGAAGAGAAGTATAAGGAAGCAATGCTGAGGGATGGACAAATAGATAGACTTGTAGAAATAGATGCAGATGCAGGACTTGAGATACTAGCTAATAAAGGTCAATGGAACCAAGTATTTGAGACTGCAAGCACTCAAGGAACTCAGGTTTTGCACAAATATGTGGCACAAAGAGCGGTTCAACTATTGAAAGGGAATGCTCCACTAGATGCTTTGCAATTGTATGTTAAGTATGGTACTCCTCCCATCCAGCAAAATTTTAATCTCTACTTACAATTGTCTGAAAGCATTTTAAATTCAGAGGTAAAAATAGCATATTGATAAACTTGGTAAAAAAGAAATAGTCAGCTGGAAGCTGTTTTGTTTCAGGCATATTATGAATACAGATACTTAAGTCACTTGAGAACTGTACTCTTGGATCTTTGGAAGAATTTAAAATCATTAGAATCAAGTCAAAAATCGAAATTTGAGAGAGTACTCAAAGCTACTCATTATTCAGCAGTGAAATGTGGTTGTCGTGATTATCCTGTACTTTCTGGCCTGGTCTTAAAAGCCTCCATTACTTTACTGAGGTACACTGACCTTCTTCTTGCTGATAGAGCTTACTATGAAGCAGGGATAGAAGCACGTACAGCTGGGAAGAACAGTGAAGCCTTTGTTTTTTTAAACCATTTCCTGGATTTAGAGGAATGCATAGAAGAAGGTGATAGTACCGTGTTGGATGTTGAAGATTTAGCTGTAACAGACTTCCCTGTGGAGGTTCCTCTGCCAGAGACATTGAGTTTAACAGCAGAACAGAGAGAAGAAGTCCGTGAATGGGTTCTTGCTGTATCTATGGATCAAAAAGTGGAGCAGGTTCTCCCCACAGATCATAGAGGAGTCTATGTAGGTTCATTGACTGCTCATTCTGTTGATTCTGGAAGTCTTCAAGCTTGCATCTTGACTGGGTATCCCATTCGAGGTTCAATCATTAAATTTGCAGAGGTATTTTATAAATTCTACCAGTAAATTTTATTTCTTTTTTAATCTTTTTCAAAGTATAATGATAAATTGCTATCTGTAAAGGTTCAGCATGTGGCAGATCGTGATGACTGGACAAAGTTGATTAATACTGCACGCCAAGCTCCTCAGGACTCAAATCTTAATGATATTCTAGCTTTCATTCAAGAATGGTTCGGAGCAATTCCCAACTATTCTTTTTAAAGGCATATGGTGTTACTTATTGTTACAGTTTCCAAAATAGAAAAGTATAAGTTTCTATGTAAATATAAGTGTATTAATGTAAGTATAAACAAGATTAAATTATTAATAAAATGAATATAAATGAAATATATTTAAAAACTAGCAGTGACCTTCTAATGACAAGGTAACGCAGAAAGAAAACGACCTCATTTCTCTAGAATTTATTTAAATAAGGCTGCATTATGTAAATAATTACTCTAACTTAAGCATAAATAGTTTCTATGCAATGTGAATATACATGCAACGTGTGTCCACGGGATTTCTCGTGTCTTATCGTTAAAGTGACTCTATGTATAACGATCGACCCTAACGAGTTATCAAGATAACTATCACTCGTTGTCTGAATACCTATCCGCGATGGATGTTTATATTTTCCGACTACTCAGTGATGACTATGGGCGTATTGCATTTTTATACAGAGATAATATGTATATCTCGAAAATAGTAGTACAAGCTAGAAATGATAAACTAAATAACGCACAATACTCTTTTTTGAGTTCCTCTTTGCATTACATTCCTTTTATCCAACCGCCTTTGATCGTTTTTAATACCTTATTATTTACACCTATTTTAAGTGTAAATAAAACATAAAATAACAGATAAAGGGAAAAATTAGTGAAAGCTAAATTAATTTTATGCAGACACAAATATTGAAAAATTAATGCTATGAAATTTAACAGTGCTCATCATTTTACCCTTGGTAAAACATCAAGACAATATGGCTGTATTATTCACCTTGATTATGACACTTGTGAAAATAAAGAGGCATCATTGAACAGAGAGAATGCGTTTGATTTAGTTTTTATTAAGTATCTGGCATTTCTTGCTTATACCATCATTTCCTAAATATTTTGTGTAAATATACAAGAAGTGCCTTAAAAGATTTACTGTAAATAAGATTTCCAAGTGAAAAACAAGATATTAAGGATTCTACTTGGCTATCTGGTCATAGAATTTTTAAATTATTTAAGAGTTACAAAGTTACTAATCAATTCTATAAAAATATCAGAAATCATCTGATTTTTCACTCAAAGATCTATTTCTTCCTATGATACAGTATACTTCAGGAGACACTTTATATGCAGTTTACAATAACTGAATATACAAAACATTTGATAAATAGTGCATTTCCTGGTAATAAGGAAATTTTATCCTTATCTATCTCATACCAAGTATACAAAGAAATTCCCCATTTGTATAACATTATGTTAAGCCTATAATTTTATAAACACATTTTCTTCCTCTATTAACATTTGTTAATCACCTTCTACCCTGTTCAATTAAATAATCACAATTAATTCACAATTTGGAATGTTTTATATAATTTTCAATTATAATAAAATAATTCAGATTTAAGAAAATTATATCAAAATGGTGCATAAGATAATTAAATGTGAATTTAAATGTAAACAATTTACTTAAACATAAATCTACTATTATCAGTGTCTTCTTTTCAAACACATATAACACATCATGTTATATCCAGAAAATACTCTATTTATTAAATACTCTGCACACATATTGTATCAGGACTACAAAACTCCTCACTCGAAGTTTCCTCTTTCTTATAAAAATGAAGAATATGTTAAATACGAAGGAGGTTCTGAACATATACAGTACATACATATTATGCTTTGCCTTTAGGATTTTACTAAAACGTATTTTACTTTGTCATCCTGTCTTAAATATCGAACAGTTCCCGTATTTAATAATTCTTCTTTTATTTCTTGAGAGAAAATATTTCAATTAAACTATTTCATTTCAATTCGCATTACAATATATGCAGGAGAAATTCTTGCAAGAAGTATAAGTCATAGCTACTTGCAAATTAAAGATAAAAGAAGATACCACATAAAGTATTCAAATGTAAATTTTTATAGTAGCATAGAAACTTGTACGATACTGTTCATGTCCTATCCTAATAATCTAAAAAAAGCAATTTAAACTTAACTCCATGGAATTTTCCATATTTACCAACTACGACCAATTCAAATTGCAAGAATTTCTTCTATAATCTTTAAAATGAACCAAAAAATTGTATAATCTCACTCTTTATAAAGACTCATTACTACTGCTGCGTGATCCTGAATACCGGACCAATTCTCAGGAAGAATCTCCGCAACACGGACCTTAATTCCGGTTTGAGATCAAAGCACATAACCTCACAAAGTAATGGGTAACAGCTAGATGCGTGGACTGCAAACCGATTGTCGCTCATCTTTAGGATCCTCGTGAGAAGCAACAACAATATCGGAGTCCAAGCATCTCGGTGAGCTTCGTTGGAAAGTGCTAGGAAATATTCCAGTGCTTCACAAGCCACTTCAACAAGCCTGGTTTCCACTTTGCTCCAGTCAGCTCTGTGGGCTTCATCACTATACATCTTAAAGAGGATTCTCAATGCACAGGCTAATGACTGTGTTTCTTGTTTAAGCAAATTTGGTTTCACGTTGCCTCGGAAACCAGCTTTCCACAGCGCATTCCGTTGTTCATGGTTGGAATTGAAACTCTTCGCGAATCTATGGGATTTCAACAAACATTCGACTAACTGTAATAGATGCGTAGTAGTCAGAGCACAGTACATGCCCTGTTCCTCCTTCTGTTGGTCTGCACCAGCTCTTACACCCAATTCAGAGGACTTCCCATTAAACATGTCCGCCTGTGCCAATGCTAGATTCTCCTGGTCTTCCTTCCTGGACGTAGCTGGGTAGAACACAATGTTGTCTATTGTTTGAATCAGCTCCAACTGCACCACACATTTAATTAATAATGCGGAGAAAACTTTGTTTTTCGCGGTCTCGCCGTTTGTTAAACTTTGAGAGCTATTGCTTCTTTTGAGGATCCCCATATGGCTGTCTGCATCTCCTGTGATTACATCTAGGTCAGATTCCTTATTAGGCGACTGAGGTTTCCAAGTGAGTAAGGCGGATGGCAGGGTGCTCTCGAAGATATCGAGGACACAACTACAGGTCTTCTCCCAAGTTTGCTCGTCGAACTTGATACCATTGCTGATCACCAAGTTCTCTAGGCAGTTGGTTCCCGAACGTGCCAACTGCTCGTTGTCCTGTTGCACGCACCAGAGCAGTTGAGAGTACAGCTGCTCTAGTAGAAGAGGCCCCAAAGTGTCGTAGAATTGTGAGAACACATCGACGATTGCGTACAGAGCGTGGTTACACGTTGTTGTCATCCATTCTGCTTTCTGAAATATTAACATGGATGCTCATATGCTCACTATAAGAATTATTGTACTGTAGCGACACGCGAGCAGGACAAATTAAAATCCTATTATTGTTTCGGAGTATCATGACTGTTAGGTCACAGATATTGCAAGGAGTAATGAACTCCGAGCAAAACAATGTCGCCGCTACTTTCAACCGTCAAACGCAGTCGAGTTCAAACTTTCTAACTGTCCCCCGACCGGTGTAAACAAACAAACGAGATGACGAGCGAGAGAATTCAGCGATCGCAGCATAAGCATACAGACGCATCAGACGTGTATACGGAGTTTCTTGACACGCGCGTATTTATTTCGTAAGACTTATTATATCTGGACTTGTGCTTTGTGTCGAATTCATATCGTTAATAAATTGCTCACAAACAATTAGACTGTTATTCGTGATATCCGGTAAGATCAATCCTCTACAGTACATTATTTGGAGTGCCAAATATAATCATCAGTACCAAAGATAATTTATATATCATTCAGGCCAAAAAAAAAGCAGCAGTGTTAAAAATAAATTTTTTCACGCACCTCTGTATGTTGTTCAGGAAGTTTCATATTGTCAAAGATTCTGAACAGGACTTGGAAGAGATCTTTCCACCAATGGGGTTTAAAAGAAGCTCCATGTGTTTTCACGACGTCGAAAAGAACGGTCAGCGCTCGTGTTCGAACATCCAACTTACACCTACTCACTATACACGATAACTCGAACAACAGCGGGAACCATCCTCTAACCTATATAAATAAAATCTTCGAGTAGTAAATTTTTTATAATAAAAAGTTCACCGAATGTACCTAGTGGACAAGTTGCAAGGATTTGAAAAAAATTGGGGATATATAAAAAAAAATATGAGATCTTTACCCAAGCTCTATCTTCTTCAGACACCATTCCACTATCATCCATCATGCCCTCCGCGAAGAGATTTGGATTGGCGTCGATATATGACGCGCAAGAACGTATCAATCTTATGGCCTCCATACTCGTCTCGGGGAAGGAGGCGTTGCAAGCAAATTCACTGAGGCACTTTACGGCGTCTTGAAAGGAATCTACCATGATACTGAAATCTTCAGCATACAATTCATCTGAAAATATATACCAAATATAAAATAAACCAATTAAAACTATCACATCAAGTATATCATCACATCTCCAAACACTCACTTATAATCTTCCCAGTCATAGAAAATGCTAGCTCAACAACAGCTTCATCTCTGTCGCTAGCTGCATGGTGGAATACACTGAATATATTTTTCCATCCTGATCGAATATTAGGAGCCTGTGAGTGTACAATTTGCGCGACACAACGGACCACCATGTCCCTAATCACTGGTGATCGATTCTTTTTCATGATATGCTCAAACGGTCTGAGGAAATCCTTTTGAAACCGGAAATTAGCGAATTCCCCCTTCTCTATGAACTTAGTCGCAAGTTGTCTCAAAGAATCGACTGCAAAAAAAGCGATATCCTGGCGAGGACTGCAACCAACTCTATCAAAGTGATCTCCTATCACTTGCCAAATCCTGGACCACTGAAGTCTGATACGTCCCATGTTATAATAAGAAATTTCTACGATCTTGGTTAAAGAGAACATCCGCGGCTGCGTTGGGTGTGATAATTCTTCCAGAGAGACTTGACAGAGAGCTTTCACGAATTCTACAATGGCGTCACCATCTAGTCTAGTGGAACCGGTGAATATTCGATCGACAGCTACCACCACGCTTTGAGAACTTGTCTCTCCTATTGATTCCTTTACGCTTGCTAAAAAGCATATAAAAAAACGAAGCATGTAAAATAAATAGATAGAAAATAAACAGAAGTTAAAGAATACAATTTTTGTTGACTAGGATTTCATCTTTAATATGTGTGCATTTTTCTATGAAAAATTTATGAGATGTCAATGACATACTTACGGTCCAACGAGCTGAGATTCAAATTATTGTTCTGATGCAAGTTGTTATGTGTTAGGTTGAAGTTTACTAATGGTGAAGGGAAATGCGGCTTCGAAGGTGGACCCAAGAGCTGAGGTCTGACTCCAGTTCCAATTAATTGGGCAAGCTCGAGTTGAGAGATACATTTAACAACATCCAACCAAGAGCTGCCAAGATAATTACCATCAGTGTGAGCTACAGTAATCAAAGTTTTGATCGTATCGATGTTCTTCGCCTTCATTTCAGTGATCGGTGAATTCGCAGTCAATAAAGTAAACCGTGCTAAGGCTTGCACATACGCGTCCCGTTCTAACTATAATTAAAACACAAAAATACAATTTACAACAAAGATCTTGAGTGATTTGAAGCTTATGATGTACCTTATATATTCTACAGTTCATACAGCTTCGGACGTAAAAGTAACCAACTGAATAAAACTATCCGAAACAGGACTATCATAGTAGTTTAAAATTTCGCTGATATCGCAGAAACGCTTACCGTCATATGAAATATGCAAGCAATGCGTATTGCGCATCTAATACCATCTAGACAAAGGGAAGCAATTTCTGGATCATCGCAGTCTTGAAGACCGACACTGAATGCGGCTAAAAATGGTGTCCACGCCATTTTAAACATAGGTCGAACGTGTTCCAGGTGTTTAGCCGTGGTGAACGGTGCTTGAACGTGACTGACAGATTCCATTAGATTTTTCGCTGCTGTCGAGATTACTTCCATCTCCATGTTCCATAAAAGCCGTCGTTTCTTTTCGCTAGATATCACTGTAACACCAAACATATTTAAAATTATTAATTATATAACAATCTACTTAATTAGTTCAATTTCTATTTACCTTGCTTGCCAGGTCGATTAGGATTGGATTTCATCTTAATTTCATTACCGGCAATCTCGTCATAAATTTTCGATAAGTACTCTTCAGGGAGATCCTCGTTATCACTAATGCGTCGGTTTAGCTTGATATATTGCTCTTTGGTCATTTTATTTTTCACTTGAGGCGAGTGTAGATCGGTAGTCAACATAATGATCGAAAAGCCCAATACATATGCGGTGTCCGCACTTGTGAATAACCCATTACTGGTAAAATAAAAGATGAATTAATTTATGAAAAAAAAAATGTTAAAATTATATAATATTATGTACAAGAAGATAACACGGAAGAAATATGAAAAAACATGATAATATGATATCATATAATACTAAAATTTAAAGGATACTTACTTTGGATTACATTCACAATATCGACTAGCAAACTTCTCCATTAATCGATCAATCTTCTGCGCCTCCCCAGGCAACCGAAAGCCCTCGAGAAAGTATCTAAGGGCTGTAACTAAATCGCGGTCGGCAAAATTCATTTGATCAATATAGCTGTACATCACCTGATTGTGATTATGGTCGCCGAGAAAATCGCCGATCGCGGTCTTATCGAGTCGCTCGTCCATATGAAGCCAACGGGCAACATCTTCAGACGAATTACCTAGAAGACTTTGTTCTTGAAGATATTGTACTCCCTTGCTTGGCTTTCGATTAAAACTAGAGATAAAAATACCAATTTAATTAATAAAATACATGTCTCTTTGCAACTCTGCCATTTCCTAAGTGTCATTACAGTGATTTAAAATACCAGGTAATCCTATTATCCTTCTGCAATTTAACTTACATACATTAACATACATTTTATGACCGATTTGTACCTAATTAAATTAAAAGGCCGTTCATAACTTGGCTATAATTATAAATTTTTGTAATATGTCTATTTTAACACATCTCCATATAATTCCATATAATTCCATATAATGAACGTAAAAGGAATTATACGATATAATAACATACAACGTTGAGTCAACTATTTAACACAAATCAATTGTTCAAGTAAAAGAAGTAAAAGAATTTTGTTTTGAGACAACCTGATGCTTTAAATATCAGAATAAGACGAAAGAACTAAAAAACGAATTGTAATCCATACATATCGATGCCAGTCTCCCACACTTCTTTTTGTTGTTTCTGGACCTCATATTGTTCAGGAGAATCCGGGATCTCCTTGTTTCCTACTAAACTAGAGTTCGCTGAGGATAGACTACCAGCACTTCCATAACGAGGCAGGGGAGGTTCCACTGGAGGATCAGGGGGCTCAGATGGGAATTGCTGATCAGCTGGAACACTAGGGTTCACATACAGATCTCTGCTCCACTCAACCATACACTTCAAGATGGATACTAAACATTCAAGACCTCTGATCCTCATTGATTTCTCTTGATTGGGTGATGCACCTAATTCTAGTGCTTGTCTACCTTGTGCTATCTTTGATAAGTCATTCACAAGCCTGTAAAAATATAGAATATAACTAATTTAATCTCTCTATAAAAATATAATAATACGAAATATAAAATATTCATTCGTTTTATAGATTTACAGGTAATTGTTGTTTTCCAACCTTTCAAACAGATTCGCAGCTGATAAGTCACAGTCGTAGTTCACATAGATATCCACGACACTCTGTGCATCCGCACAAATACGAGTCAAAGCGTGAATCACCATCCATTTGTGTTCAAAAGAACTGCTAGAAGTCTCGAGGATATTCATAAAAATCTCCTTGAAGAAAACCTCTATCTGCATTTTTAAATGCATTTTGAAGCGAGCCAGCAGTGCAAGAAACAATGCTAGAGATAATTCAAACACCTCGGGAACGGAAGAGACACCGTTTTTCGAGAGTGCTACACAGAGGTACTGTTTTATGGCTATGACAAACATTTCATTGGAACGCAATACTGGCCCAGCATTTTGCAGGATACCCAGAAGCAATTGTAAGGAAAGGATCTTCGACCTGAGCTGGTGGGACCTAAAGAGAGTATACCACAAAAATTTCATAAGATGCCAAACTTTGACATACCAACTTGCATGATTATTAGAAAAGTGACATACTCTTTCTCTATTTGTGAAATTGTGATACATGAAATAACAAATATTCCAATATCACAACTTTAAATGGTTAAGTCAAAAAACCAATTAGGTTTTACTTGATTTATGAAATACAAAAATGTCAATCTCAAAAAGACTTCTGAGTCAACTTAAAAATAATTGTCTGCATTAAAACATTTTCTTAATAAAAAGACTCTTTACACATACTTGGGATCTGGAGTGCCATCAGGAAGTGGTTTCATGGAAAGTTTGCAAAGTGCTCTGAAAACCAAAAAAGCGTCCTTCTGTAGCACATGAGTGAACTTCGCCCTGACCATATTATCGCTCTCTGCAACCGCCTCGTCGGAATTCTCATCTATAGGCACTTGATCTAAGCTAGCCTCCTCTGACGTTACAGTAGTTATATTCGTCGAATCTTCGGGAATAATAGAATTTACTACATCCTCTAAAATTCCTCTCACTATTAACTGTGATTCTTGACTGCTCTCCACTGATGGTTCTTCGTGGTTTACTGTTTCGGTTTCAAGCTCTCCAGAAGTGCAGTTAGTGGAGTTTACATTGGTGGTTTCGGCTTGATCTACCTCGTTCCGGACGGTCTCTTCTTCCTAGGAAAGCAGAAAATATTCCTCAACATTCTTTTATGTAAGTTTCAGTAATGCAATTTTATGCCAATTAGTTAGTAAACTTACTGCCTGCGTTTCCATACGTGCAAAAATAACATTAATCATCTGAGTGAGCGTAGCTCGAGCTGTAGTTTGATTAACCAGATTCCTTGAGGCCAGATAAACACTGTATACCGTGCGTATGGTGAGCAACACAGTACCCTCATGAACTTCCACATGTTGACTGGTCATAACTGTGAGAAGGGCTTTTATAATCTGCAATTGGACTCCTTCGTCCGTCTGTGGCCCCATGAAACATCCACATATTGTTTCAACAATGCGTACAATGAGCAGCTTATTTGGCTCTGTAGAATCAGGTACATTTCCCGTAAGGTGTCCATAGGCAATTAACTTTTGTAGACAATCCAGAGCAGTGACCACGATTCTTGGTGACTTGCTTTGACAGGCCAATTCAAAGGGCAGAAAATACTTTTCTGCAGAGATAACATATGAATCACTGCGAGGCTGTGGCAAAGCGGTTGATAATTGAGTACCTGAGCCTTCTTTGATTTCATTTCTCAAGTTATCTGAAAAACAATATATATTTAAAGTTATAAATTGATTTTAACATTTCTTTGAAAATATAATGTAAAATTATTTTCAGTCTGTATTTCTCAAAAACTTGAAGAAAATCAAGCAACTTTGTATAGTAACTAATTAAAAATATACAGAAATATAACAGACAATACATATACATATTGATTCCTATTTTCATATGGACATATGTATATATTTAATATTACAACACATGTACATCAAATGTCAAAGTCCAAGAACTGAACAACATACAATATAATTATGTTACTTAATATCTATATATTACTGAATAAAAAGAAAAATTGAAGCTGATGCAATATATTAAATCATCGAATTAATCTAATTAGATCTTTCTATGAAGACCAAGAAATACAATTTTACCAGTCAATTTTAAAACCCTAAAAAATTTAATGTCCTATTCTGAAGAAGAATCTTCCATCAATCCCTGTATAACCAAGATCTTATTAGAACATTCAGAGAATAATCGATTAAAATATTAAACTAATTCCAATTATAAATCACACAATATAATCATTTATAATACTTTGCAGTAGAGTATCACAATTTTACGCATTTGCTATAATAGTTTTGTGTTGTATGCATAACTCTCAAGGAACTTCTTCGATTACACATATTAGTGTTATCACACAGGATAAGTTGATGATTAATGAATTTACCAAGTGCAGTCTCGCAGGATTTTCTGAGCTGAGAGAGGTGCGACCGTTTGACATCCCGGTCAGCCAGGATCTTTTCCAAAGCTCTGATAATGAACATCTCTTTGGAGTTATCTCGCATCGTCGCCGGGCCGCGCTAATTCCTCTGCTACGCTGGCACGGGAGCACACGCGACTCGATCGAAGTCTCGCATCTTTACCACCGTGATTTGCGTACTGGTTCCTCGTACATCGTTTTGCACCACCTTCTGGAGGCAGAAGTTGTCCGCGGAAACCTCTGCGACACTGTCGATGAAACGCGTATCGATTAGGAGCTTTACTAACGACAAATAGGTGGAACGACGATATTTCAAATGAGTTTCGCCTTGAGATTACGTTTCAATCCATTTTTCACGAAATCATGTGAAGCGATGACGAAACTCCGAAAAATGACAGCAAACTTTCGAAACAGCGGAGAAACCACACAAGAGACAGACTGAAACGACGAAGGAGGTTCAAGTGGCGCCCTCCACACACATACACACACGTGCATACACCTACTAGTTACTTATGAGGAATCTAGGAATCCCTATATAAATACCGTACATACCGGGCATAAAATTTTGGTATATATTATTATTTATATTATTATTATCTTTATTTATATTATTATACATTATATATATTATTTATTATTTATTAAAATACAGAAGTCTTAGATTGTAAGATTCCTCTTACATTTCTGTGGTTATTAAAGTACAGAAGTTTTAATATATGAATTATTTAAACTTTTCTTTAAATTTTATTAGATTTCCCTTACACTTTTTTGCTCATCCAAATAAAGAAATTTTAGTATATAAATCGTTTATTAAAAGTTTGTATTATTATAGTAGTAATTGTATATTATAATAGTAATTATTCGTTCTAAATGATTTTCTATATCACGGGAGTTTAAAAAATGATAAAGGCTTGTGAATATCGCCTGCTATAGACGATACTGTGTTAACTAGTGGCGGAAAAATTAAATGACTGTATTGAATTTTGCAAGTTTCGAAATTTTATATTTGCTACTGATATTAATTAAGATACAGATTTTTTCTTTGTAATAAAAGATATATTACTTTAAGTTCAGTTGCACTATTTTTTAAAGTTTAAATTTGTGACTGACTAAAGGAAATATTTTATTCTACCACAGACGCGCCAAATGTACAACTTTCTGCAATTTGCAGGAAGACGACTAATAAATTGAACAAAAATTATGTATTATAAAATAATTTAATTAAAAAATCATGTAAGTAAGTTTATAATATATATAAATGCATGTAGTATTCTACCAATTATACTAATTACGTATAATTCGCTATTGTGGCATGCTGGAAGAAAAACAAGTAAATCAATTTTACAGCCGCAAGGAAACGCGACACACGTTAATCATGCAATTCGAAATGAGTACCAAATTAAAAGGAATACAATGAAATGACGTCACTAACAGTCAACCAATAGAACTTGGTATTCTAATCGAAGAATAAAAGTGAAATCTTAAGTGGTTCTCCCGGGCGGAAATAGTAATACACTATTTGTTTTGGAACCGCGTCAGATCTTGGGCTAATACAGGTGCTAGCTGTCAGAAAAAAATTGTACCGATGATAATTATCTAATTACGCCGATTTGTTGTAGAATTGCTCATAAAAGCCATTAGTTCAATTGTTAAACGATGGAAAAGCAACCGCTAACTACAGGGAACGATAAACCTCCGTCTTACGCAGCAGCCACTGCGCCAATAAGTGAGCAACAAAATTGAAATTTTACTGTTTTGTATTATTTTGCTGTCTAAAAATAATGTGAACTGCTATTAAGTCTAATTATTACATTTAAAGTTTGAATTATTAAACCATTAATTTTATATTAATAATTTTTATATTTCGCATCATACGAAGATTATTACGAAGTTTTAAAAAGTAAATAATTTAGACTCATTCGTTTATGATTATCATTATTAAAATTTGGAAAAATAGTTTGAAAAAGTGTATATATTATTAATGTTATAGTGTTATTAATATTGCGAGATATTTTTATACAAAAATGGAAGAGGTAATTTCTGATGTCATTATTCTCATTTAACAATACTCTGACTATATTGTCATACTGTAATTCATGTTCAATGCTAATAATCTAAATTGGTTGAATAGCAATGCAAAAGAATAAATTAATTTTCAATATCTTGTTGTATTAAATGATTGTTTCTTGTTTGATACAAAAAATGTTATATTTAGAAGTAATAACAGAAATTGACATGGGATGTGTCTTATATAGCTAATTCTTCATGGCAACCACATCCAGGTTACAATGCAACACAATGCGCAGGGTCTACTTCATGGCCTCCACCTGCAGGGTACTATCCTAGCGCAAGTGGAACTAATAATCACAATTATGTACCTTCCTATGGTTCTACACAATCAACCACTATACTTATGCCAGAAATAATTTTAGTTGGAGGATGTCCTGCATGCAGAGTAAGTAATTTTTAATAAACAAATCTTAATTTCCTTCTCATATGTTTGATATTCAATTATTTGAGGTAAAAAGTAGGGACTAAGGTCAGATTTTACAACATAGGTGGGTGTAATGGAAGATGATTTTACATGTCTGGGACTACTATGTGCAATCCTGTTCTTCCCATTAGGGATAATATGCTGCTTACTATTAAAAACTCGACGTTGTTCTAATTGTGGTGCCTATTTTGGTTAATGTGTTACATATTACAGTCTTAATTCTTATGCAATTATTGTGTAGATATGGAGGTATATGAGCAAACCGTGGAATTAGTGGTTAATTATTTAACCAAAAAATTAATTTTTTACTAGTACTGTGCATCCACGTAATTATATATTTAAACTAACATTATAAGGAGAAGTAGTGTTCCAATGATCAGGGATGTGTACAATAATTGGTAACTTAGTTAATTGTGGGAAACACAAGTTTGTAAAATATTGACATACAATTAAGGGGTTCCTCTACACATTTAAGACTTTGTTGATTTAAGACAATTTAAGTGGAGCTTGCGCTATTTTGTAAACTTTATGCAGAGGGTTCTGATTAATACTGTTGCATTTTATTATAACATATGTTAGTTTATTACCATAATGAATAATGAAAGAGTTTATATCTGTATCTATTTATATAATTGCATATTTCAAAATGTAGATATACCATAGTTTATAGGTATGTATATTCTTATCAGGCGATAAGAGAAGCAATGGATACTGTGAAATAGTTCTATACCATGTACTTAGAATATGTTTCTAATGACAAAAAAGCTATCTCAAACAGATTTCATTGAAATTCCTCTAGTATCTACATAGAATTAACATACAAAGTATTTTAAAATACTTTTTAAAATAGCTTATCAAAGCTTATATATTTTATGAAAAATAAATTCAATGAAGTTTGTGCCTTATGTCGCTGTAAAACAGTTTCCTGATGCAAAATTATACATAATATGTTTCCAAAAATACGTTTGAATCTCAAAGGAAATGTCAGCAAGTCTTTTTCCTAAATGCAATCAATTTTATAAAAGATGTGTAAGTGTATAATGAAACTTATTAATCACTCGCATTACAATTTATATTTTTAAAAATAAAACAGTATTTAACTGTATTGGAACCATTTTAAGCTATTATAAATATCATTTCTACTTGTTAGATTGGTCCAGATCTGACTTTCAAAGGAAGATTTTCCTAATATTATGCTGATTAGATTCAAACGAAAAGAATAATATGCTCTGTTATGCGAACCTACGTACTAGAACACTAAATATGTACCTGAAAATATGAAATATTTTTCTAATATTGAAAGCTATTAATGATTCATCTATAAACAAACATGTTTGGCTTGTCTAAAAACATATTTGTATAAAAAAATGAAGTTGTTATTAGATCACCAAAAATATTTGATACGGGGAATTAGCGGTATTTAAAAATTGTAGGCAGTGTAAACATTGTGTAACTCACATAAACATACATATATCCATAGATAAGTGTCGAGTATTATTCGTTAAACAGCATAGTCAATGCTCGATTATAAATAAATTATTTTTAAAAATTTATTTTTTTCGTCAAACACAAAAACCAATGTGTTTTACTATTACAAATTATAAATAGTGTTGTTGATCATTTATAAGGAATGTTTTTGTGATTGAAGTTTGGTACTGATTGATGGTTGTAATTTAAGAAAGTCTCATCCCAATGATACTTGATACCATACACGTGATACGTAAATGATACATTCGCAATCCCCGGCATGCATATTCATTTATGCATACACGACCCAAGTATTTTGTTTTTGTCACATTATTGGAGTCTATATAATCATTATCGATCATTGTATCATCTACATGCGTCTTGAAGCAAACGTAATCTCGTAAAAATATTACAATCCAATAATTTTCAATTTTTGTTCATTTTCATTACATAATCAGTAATAAGCAATTTTGATTGATTAGCACTGAAGAATATTTGCAACTGGCTCTAAGCATCCAGTTTCTTCTCAGAATATTTGTAGTGCGTCAAAGTTTCTAGAAGAGATTGAATATCATTCAATTACGTATTAAGGATAAAAATTATTGGTGATTGCATTTCCATATATGTAACTTATTATTGGACGTAATAAAATTATGTAATAGAATCCAGCTTAAATAATCCACCAAATCACCAGCTATTACCATTACCGGTAACGAGCATCAGTAGCTCGAAACAATCTCGATCTTTCTCATCACCCTTAAAAAGAAAGAGAAGAAAACGTATTAAAATAACAAATATTAAAAATAAATCGTTCTTTTTTTTCTGTTTCTGTTCTTTCCTTCTTGAATTAATCCAAGAATGCTTTCAAGGACGAATCATCTATGAATATTAATATTACTATAATCTTCTAAATAATTGAAACGAGTGCACAAGAAGAATGTTTACGGATCTGACGCAAAAATTCATCGCAAGAAAAAAAATAATAATCGATAATTGGAGAAAGTTAAAGACAACTAAACAGCTGAATTAAGATCTCAATTTACATTCAAATGTATCTCATCGCATTGTCGCTTTATTTACTGGATTAGTCGAAACAGCAATATAGAACAAAGGATAGTTTCCTAATTCATCAAGGCCCTGGTCGCGATATTCATCAGAAAAAGAGGCAGGAAAGGAGAGCCAGTGCCGCGAATCTCGGTGAAGCAAATGCAGCCGAAGGTAGTTAACGCGCAACGATCTTGTCCTTGGTCAGTAGACATTAGTATAAAGGAAACTGTAGGAGCACCACGCGGAACAGATTGAGAAAAACTTCGATACGTAACTATGCCGGCTAACGAGGGAACTGTGAGCGTGTCTCCGCCCCAAATAGGAGATAATTTCTTGAGAAAAGTCTGTGACAACAGTTTACAGAGCAATCTTGCTCGTCTATCTTCTGGCGATGATGAAGAAGATTATCAAGATGGTTGTTTAAATTCTATTGCCAAAGGGGAATCCAGAGAAGATTGTAACTACAGGAGTCTTCCGGTGAGAGAGGTCCATGAGAAGTTTATGAGAAGTTTCATCGATCTGCTCCTGGAAGAAGCAGTTTTTGAGGTAAATTCATTGTTAAAATCTATTGTTAGAGGAATATGCATGTATATTGACAGTTGGCTTTTAAAGTGAAGAGATAGTTATGATAAAGAGATAATTGTGCAACATAGTGAATTAAGATTTACATTTAAGAACATTGTAATGACTTTATATTTTATTTTAATTAATCTCTAAATTGAATATTTGAAGGATTTTCTTTCCATTTGTATCGAAGAAACAATTTCTTTCCACAATAATACTAACACATGTATATTATTGATATACATATGTATTCTCATGAATGTGAAAATAGGAAAAGTATGGCGTAAGAAACGACCAGGGAAAGCACAAGGAAAATTGCGTTCGTGACTCACAAATTGCATTGACATTTCGACTGAAGTTATTGAGTTAAGATAAATTGGAATATACGTTATATTTTCCTTATGAGACAGAACAGTTTCTTATACTTTCCTTCAGCAATAACTTTTAGTCACTTATATGAATTCAATCTAAATTACAAACAATTGCATATTTATACATTTTATATATAAAAATATTATATTTTTTAAGGTATAAAAATTCAACTATATTGTTAATATTAATATTTTTCGCCAATTTTTATAATTAATTTTTTTTTTAGAGCTAATATAAATTCTAAATTATAATTTAGACAATTTCTTTGATATTTTTATAAGAATTTTATTTCCCGTCAATTTCAATAATTTAAAGAAGTATCGTATTAAACATAAAATATCGTTAAAGAAGATTATAGTTATTCGCCGAAGTAAAACTAAGCAAAAAGCGTGGTTCTCAGTAACTCGGTACAATAATTTATGTTACACACGAACGCTTCCAATCACTTCTTATTCTTTCAAAGCCATTCACTTTGAAGTATCCAATTATCTTTACGCTTCAAGTACATTACCGTCATTAAAAATTTCTTTGCTTCATTTTGATCCCTATCTCAATAAAATGTTCTCACATTTTGTAAACCATAATCTACTTCTTTCTATTTTTTACTTACTTAATTCTTGAAATTGAATCAAACGTATGTTCATTGTTGTCATAATTCTTTTTACATAATTTGAATACAGTGAAATGAAGATAATCATTTCCTTCAAGTATATTTAAATTTCTATCCGATGTATGTAATTGCTCAGTTTAATTAAAGAAAACTTAATATTCAAATGCATCCATGAGCAACGATTATCACTGATTTATTATAAAACTAATGTTTCCTTGTTGTTGTGAAAACGTGAGTCAAACGTTATTTATGCGACTTTTTCTCTTCGTTTGTTAATGATCTGCTCTGTCAATTCATGGACGAAGAATTGTGCGGCAAGTTGCATTCATGTTACTCTACTTCCGAGTTAAATTATAAAATATAAGAAAAAAGAAACTGCGTCGCAAAAAGGAAAAGCTAGCTCCTATACTAATGCACGAAGATTTCTAAATTAAAAATTCTCTATCCTATTGACTTACATAATAGAAGTTTCCAATTACCTTTCAGGGAACTTCAAGAAAAAACAAAGTAGTGGAATGGATGAAACCAGCAGCTCTTCGATCAGCCATTGACTTAAAGCTGTCTGACCAAGGGTGCTCCCATGAGAAGCTTTTCACCCTCGCCCGCAACGTGATCAAGTACAGCGTAAAAACAGGTCATCCTCGATTCATAAACCAATTATATTCCAGCGTAGATCCATATGGCCTTCTTGGACAATGGTTAACAGACGCCTTGAACCCTTCAGTTTACACCTATGAAGTTTCTCCAGTGTTCTCTTTAATGGAAGAGGAGATATTGCGTGAAATGAGGAAGATAGTTGGCTGGAAAGATGGTAAAGGTGAAGGAATATTCTGTCCTGGTGGTTCTATTGCCAATGGTTATGCAATTAATCTGGCACGTCACTACAGGTACTTCTCATTTCTTTATAATTTGATTAATCAATTGGAATCCCTGAAATTCCTATGTTTTTATGTATCGTCATTCACAGGTTTCCTCAATTGAAGGAGTTAGGCTTATCCAGTGCCGGCAGATTAATAATTTTCACTTCCAAAGATTCCCACTATTCTGTCAAAAAGCTTAGTGCTTTCCTAGGATTAGGCACTAGCAATGTGTATGAAGTGAAAACTAACAGCAGAGGAAAGATGTGCATAACGAATTTGGAAGCACAGATCAAGAAAGCTCTTGACGAAGGTGCAGTGCCCTTGATGGTATCTGCTACAGCAGGAACTACAGTCCTAGGTGCATTCGATCCCTTAAGAGAGATTGCTATCATTTGTAAGAAGTACAATCTGTGGTTTCACGTGGATGCAGCGTGGGGAGGAGGAGCCTTGATGTCCACAAAGCACAGATACCTCCTGGATGGTGTAGAACTGGCAGATTCTATTACTTGGAATCCACACAAATTGTTGGCTGCTCCGCAACAATGTTCAACATTGTTACTGCGCCATGAGGATCTCCTGCAAGCAGCACATAGCTCAAAAGCTAGTTACCTCTTCCAACCAGACAAATTTTATGACTCTTCTTTCGACAGTGGGGACAAGCACGTTCAATGCGGTCGTAGGGCAGACGTGATGAAATTCTGGTTCATGTGGAAAGCAAAAGGCACTCATGGCTTGGAGAAACATGTAGATCGAGTGTTCGAATTGGCGCGGTACTTCACAGATTATATAAGACACAGAGAAGGCTTCAAACTGATGCTTGAGCCCGAGTGCACCAACGTCTGCTTCTGGTACGTGCCGCCCTCCAAACGCCACTTGCAAGACGGAGAACTGTTCAAAGCCCTTGAGAAAATTGGACCGGATGTAAAGGAGCGAATGGTGAAGAAGGGCTCGATGCTGATCACGTATCAGCCTCTACGCGAGCTACCTAACTTTTTCAGGCTTGTTTTGCAGAATTCTGGACTCACTAAGGCTGATATGAGATTTTTCGCAGAAGAAATTGAGAGGCTCGCCATTGATCTGTAGAACTTGTACTCTTTATTAACTCTAAGTTTCAGTTATGTAACGTCCAATTTCGTAGAGATTTGCCAATTTGTTAATGGCAGAAGCTCTCAATAAAGTATTTCTTTTAATAATAATCAGTCGATTATTGTATATAGAGTACAATGTTAGCTTTACTTCTTAGCTCTTTCCGTTTCCTCTTCGAAAAACTGATTTTTCCGATAAGTTTCATTGTTCGAAATCTCCTTTAGATTACATTAAACTTTCGTTCCGAGGTACGAATTATTTGGACAACAGGTACACTCGGTAAAAAGAGCATACAATCAGTTATACCGTATCTTCGTTTACAGGATATATGAGTGAACACCTGATAATTCTAGTCTCATTTAGAATTTTAATATTATGTAACTTTTTATCCGATCAAGATCTTCGATACGGTCCTTGAAGTCATTTTTACTTATTACGCACGAATTAGACAACTCCAGTGTTTTTCTTACATGTTTTTTGTACTAATGGTGTTCAAAAGCGTGTTGCTATCAATTCATAATAGATTGCGGTTATACGCTGAAAGTAGTGATCATGGTTATTAAATGTTTTTTACGTTCTAATTGAAGTGCATGTGATTTTTTATTAACATCGAGGATCTCGTACAAATGTGAACACATAAGTCTTTTCTGGTGGGTGAATTTCATTGAATGCACGTGATTTGTACATGGTAGAGACGCGAGAATCATCTTCGCATTCATATATTCTTCAGACAAATCGATAATTATAATTTATTCAAATATAAATTACAATATAACCTGATAATATCATCATGAATATTATAAAAAACAACGTTTGTTAGTTATCTGCGAGTTATTGTGATATACACGTACGAACACCCACCATACGTTCCAATGATTCTGATAAAAGAAAGCCATCGATTGGTATATTATACAATCTCTTAAACGTAATGATAAATTCACACTATATTTACAAGTATTCGATGAATTGTGAAATCCATCCATATGATATTACATTTACATAAAACCATATATATAATCCCTTTTGTGCCAGATCGATAGCGGATCTAATATAATTTCAAAAATAGCCTTTATAATATTTTCTCACTTCAAAATGCAAAGTAATGTACATTTGACCATTCTTTCGAATAAATTCGTAAAAATTTCATGGAAATGTAATACTGAACTCTATATCATAACCCTGACACTTCTAGGATGAAATAAAATGCATAAAAATCCCATAGTATCATTATTTGTACTCTTCGAGGAACCTAATATGGAACTGTCTCAGATTCTCGAGCATTGTATTTATTTTCTCCTTCTGCGGCAAGATTGTCGTCCTGAAGTGATATGTTCCAGGTCGCTGTCCAAAACCGGAACCTGGTATCACGCATATTCCGGTGGTCTCCAAGAGTTTGAAGGCATAAAAGACATCAGGCTGTTGACCTTCCTTTTCTGCTGCTTGTATGGCTCTTTTTGGCAAATCGATTCGTGGGAATACATACATTGCACCCATAGCTGGATTAACCTGTAAAAGATTGGAATTTAATTAATGATTGAGTGCTAATAAATGATGTCTGACACAGCTCTTATAATGAATTTTTAGAAAGTACCTTAAAACCTGGAATGCTATTCAATGTATCAACCACTAATTGAGATCTTTCTGCTAAAGAGCGTAAGGTTTCCTCCTTTTCCTTTTGAAACAATTTGTAGGATGGCTCGTTTGGCTTTGGAGGATTCACCACAACATCCATTACTACCTGACCAAGAACAGTAGGACACAACATTGCTGAAATCGATTTTAACAGTATTGCCATTACTTTGGGATCCATGTTGATAATTTCCCCGTACCCGCCGCGGATTCCACATTCTCCCATATAACCTGCAACATACATAAAAGAATTAGTATCTACTCCTATAACGTTCCATTTGGAAAGTAATAAATACTTATAACTAGCTATTGAAGTAGAACATAAACTTGATCTCAAATTAAAATATACCTTTGGACACAGACATGAAGGAAGCCAGCTCCATTTTACAGTAAGGTTCTCCCATCTCCATCATTACCTTCTTGAACGAGTGGAAAGCACTGTCCTTATCATAAACATTATCCTGATAAACTTCATCAGCCAATAGGAATAAACGGTTTTTATACGCAAATCTGATGACGTCCTCGATATTAGCTCGTGTAAGAACTTGTCCAGTTGGATTACCAGGATTTATTACGACTAGCACACGAGGATTACATGACCTCCTTGACTCGTTTAGTGCTCTATCTAATTCAGAAATATCCAATCCCCACTTGTTCTCCTCGTTCAGATAGTAACCAATTTGAGCCAAGCCAAATTCAGCCAAAGTGGCAGAGTATAAAGGGTACTGTGGGATTGGGATCATCACTCCAGATGGTTTACCATCTAGTTTCTCATTGAACAGTTTCAAGAAAGACTGTAACATAAATGCAACAATAACATGGATTATTCATATATCAAGCTGAAAATCACAGAATAATCAAGACTTTTAGTTTGAATATTTGTTAATGAATTCTGAATGCTTCTTCAAAACTTGTTGTTATGAAGTGTAGATATTGTATTGAATTAGAATATGTGATCTTTAATCATTTGGAATAATATTGATGTTTTAGAATTATAAGATCATTAAACGGAATGCAACTTCTTCATTCAATTCTGCTTTTTTGTTCAGCAATAAGGTTTTAAAAATATGTGATATACTACTCATTTACAAATGTTCAAAATTAGCTTGTCTAAATGTCTGTTATCATCATTACAGCTTGCTAATCTGACTCATAATTTTGAAATACCATAATATTATAAGATAATAAAATCATTGTTATTGCTTAACGTTTTAATTTACGACCTTGTTGTATTGCTCCTATAGTGCTTAACAATATATTACAATAGAAATAATCTGCACACTTTGATTCCGTCCGAGGCGCCGTTCGAGAGGATGATGTTATGGTAATCAGAGGGAATTCCATCACGATCTTGAATGTATTGAGCAACATGTTTCCGGATGATCTCGATTCCTGCCGATTCAGAATAAGAGCCAACGCTGCCTCCTTTACACTGGCACAATATGGTCTTGGCTCGTTCCTTCACATCCTCGGGATAGCTAGGATCATCGAGAAGACTCGGCGACACCGTCAAGGTCAGTACTTGTCTCAAGAAGGTGATGGGCTGTTGCCCCATGGCATGTGCATCCCCCACGTTCGCTTTTATCACCTCCTTGAACGGTTTCTTGGCTCCCTGAAAAAGATAGCGTATTGATATATTTAATTTTACTATATTTTTATATTTACTAATATAGAGTATATCTTTAATGGGCTTTATTACAGATATTTCATAATCACATTTTTTGTATACGAATAAATTTGTGTATAAATTTGGATATAATTAAAATAGTGCTTATGTAACTAATGTAACATATTTACATTAAATACTTTTAAATTATATTATAGAATTCTGTTTTTTTTTAAATATTATATTAGACATTAACTAATAACATATTTGTGTTACACAATGTGAGCATCACATTTCGATCTTTTTATAATATTAATATCTTTAAATCACTATAATTCTTTTATTTGGGATTTTACTAAAATCATATTTTTTAAATATGGTGCCTCTCTTTCCTATTTATAGAGTTTACGATATATAAGTGATAACAACTATAACGTATGTAAAATTGGAGTAAGTTTACAATACATATCTCATTATTTTTATTATAAATTATATTTAGTCTGTCGATCTAGCAAGGTGAATACTTATCATGAGCGCGAATATCGGATTTTCCGAGATACTTCCAGCTTTTATTAGATCATAAATAAACCATTCTTTCACTTCATGTGAAGGATATATTTTTTTTTTAATATTCTTGCCTTATCCACATATTGCTTAGCTTTAAAGTAATTCAGCTCAATCGAATAAGCAAACAATTACGCAATACAGCGTGATTCATAACACACATACACAACAATAACCACATGTGTATGTGTATAGTGCAATCAAGTATAAAAGATGGTGCTAAATCTAAGATAAGTAAAATTTTAATTCTGATAAAGCTGAATTGCAGTTCAATCAGTATTTAATTCAATTTATGATCCACTTCTTTTTATAAATTTTACTCGTAAATTTACAGATAGTAAAATTTTCCCTCAAAAATAAGAATTTCGTAATTTAGTTTTTTTTTTTTTTTGAAGTTTTTTATTAAGGTTTTTATGCTCCGATAATAGCATTGGGGAAATTGGGCAATCGTTTCACTTACAACTATAATCTAAACTATGACGTACATTAAACACTTTCGTTGGCACTACTCCCTCTTCGTGACTCACAGTAATTTCACAAATGCAAGGTAGCATTGCGGACTATTTAACACAAAAATCGCGTATCGCATTTTCCAAAACGAATTCAATATCGTGAAAATTATGTTTTTCCATAGAGATATATACATTATTCATAAACAAAGCATACGCATACGATATAATGCTTAGACCATTCATAAATATTAGTCATTAGTCATTCATAATCACTTGAACTTGAATATTAAAAACATTTGAACGTTTAAGATTCATAAAACATTCAAAAGTTTGATTTCTTTATTGAAATATTAATATATAAATTTTCATGTCTATTGTTATACAAAATACGAAATTTTTTGTATAATAAGAATGTACTAGAAATTTGGAATAATATTGTGAGCTTCCATATAAGGTAACATGTAACAGAACACATGTAACACAAGCTATGCTAGCCAGACGAAGGCTGTTACATGCGCACAATATGTTTATATCTTCTTTTCACAGTTTATGGTATCAAATTGCATGGTCAAACAACAGGCTAGTTAAACGGCTCCTGTTACTAAGCTCGTTTTGGATACAGCCACTTGTCCGTAACATCTGGCCTATTGGATGCATCAACGAAATTGTTTTCAGTGACGATTTATCATAATAAATTGAAAAATTCATAGTTCTTAAGCGACTTGAAATTTGGGAATCGTAAATATAATATTTAATAATTGTATACTATGCATAATAAATGCATACGCTATTTCTATATTTATTATTTTGCTATAAATATTGAATAAAGTATACGTTATGTTTTACAAGTATGTTTATA